CAGACGGTGAACCCAATGTACTTGTGAACCTAACTCCATCAGCTCTGCAGCTGCTGAATGCGTCTTTGGCAAATTCATCGAAGGAATTTTATTTAAGGGCCTGGACAAAGGTTATTTCCTTTTGTATTAGCAATAATTTGTCCCCAACTTTTCCTCTCCCAAATGTGTTCATTGTTAATTTTCTTGCTCATCTGTTTGAGTCGGGATACTCGCCTAGTTCCGTTGCTTCTCATGCTTCTGTTTTTACTTTTGTGCAAAAAACGTTAGGTTTTTCAGATTCTATAAATACCTTTCTGGTTAAGAATTTAGTGAAAGGTGCTCGCCGTTCCAGATCCTCGGTTCCATCTCGCTTATCAATAACAGTAAATATCCTGTGCCAGCTACTTGAGTCTATTCATGTGGCAATTTCTGTAAAAGCACACCACTCTCTCTCTTAAAAGCGATATTTTCCTTGGCATTTGCAGGATTCTTCAGGATTGGAGAATTGGTTTTAAAATCAAAATTATGTGCTGGTAATGTCATTCAAACTCCTAACGTAAAGTTTTTCTTTACTAATCATATTGTTTTATCTTATATAGAGAAAACCATGCTGAATTTTAAACATAAGTCATCATCATCACCTGTTAAATTAATTTTGCACTGTCGGTGCAATATTGTTAACTCCAAATTTTGTCCAGTATGTTTATTGTTTGATTATTTAAAGAGTTGTCCCCATCCATCAGGTCCATTATTTCAATTTATCGAAGGATCCCCTGTCCCATATGCCTTTGTGAATACTAGTACTGGTGTCCTTCTTGGGTTTAGATAGTTCAAAAATTAAGTTACATGAAAGGTTACTCTCAGGATGCTATTAGAATCTTGGGCAGATGGAAGAGCAATGCGGTTAGAGCATAATAAAATTCCCCCCCCTTAGTTATGTAAGATATTGGTATTCGATATGTGAACGGCTGGTAAAATCACATTGATAAATCTCTGGCATCAGATCTTAATTTTAGTACATCCCCAGCAGGGGCGGGGATGTATTCTTTCCTTTCATATTACATGTACTGGTAGTAAACTCTAATAATTGTTTTGAAGTGCTATATCTCATGTGCTCATTTTTGAAAAATGTAAGGGTGGGTTACCATTTCTTTGGATGGTTATGTTAATTGATAAGTATGTGCCTATTCTTCCAAATACTATTTAATTTAAATATACTCAGCCAAATTAAAAACTTGACACTCAGGATTTTTGGGACTAGATTTTTAATATTTGGTTTAAGGCAACTATTTTAGTGTTATGTTGTGCACAGACCACCTTGACATCAACAGAAAGCAATAATACGTCTTGCCGAAAGGCCTTGACATTGATAACGTTCGTGATGTCACAGTACCCCCCAAAATGAAATTCACAGATTTGGAGAACAATCGGAATAAAGTGTTTAGTAACGGTTGTGGCCTCCTCTAGCATCTCGTACTGCCACACAACATCTTCTCGTGGATCTCAGAACATTAGTAAACAATACCCGAGGAAGACGTCGCCACTGCTCAGCAAGAGCATGTTGAAGGTCCTGCAACGTCAGTGGTGGATTCACTTGTTGACGAACACGTTGACCCAGTTCGTCCCAGATGTGTTCAATAGGATTAGGGTCGGGGCTAAGCGACTGCCAATTCAGGACTTGGACACCAGCATTTCTTAAAAAATTCTGGGTAGCAATTGCTGTATGGGGTCGAGCATTGCCTTGTTGAAACGATAGTCCAGGCCCATGTCTCTGCATAAACGGAAGCAGAACAGGTTGCAAAATCTGATCCCTGTACTGGACAGCATTTAAGTTCCCTTGGACAACAACAAGAGGAGAACGTCCATGTGCACAAAAAGAACCCCAAACCATGATGCTGCCGTCGCCAAATCGGTCAACTTCTCTGACGCATACTTGAGCGTAACGTTCACCTCATCTGCGGTACACTCGGACCCTGCCATCGGCAAATCTCAAAGTGAATCGAGATTTGTCACTAAAGACAACCAAATTCCACTGTCTTTGAGTAAATCTTATGTGTCTTGTGGCCCACACAAGTCGGTTACGGCGATGAAGAGGTGTCAATATTGATCCATTATAGGGCCTCCGAGCTCGAAGACCAGCAGCCTGCAAGCGATTTCGAACAGTTTGTGCAGTTACCCTTCCACCAAACATCTCTCTACTTGTGGAGGTTGCAGTAACAAATCTGTTTCTAAGATGACGTAATCGTATTGCTTGATCTTCCTGGAGTGACGTCATACGTGGCGCTCCCGCCCTTGGGCGGTCGGCAATAGTTCCAGTTTGAAGCACTCTCATTCTAAGATTAATTATTGTCTGGCGTGAACAATTAAAGGCTCTTGCAACAGTGACCACAGACTGACCAGCATAGAGCCTACCTATAGCATGTAGACGTTCTACATTTGAAAGGCGCGGCATTTTCTAACAAAGATGAAAATAACAATTTTAATTTGTTTTTCCAGTTCAAGTTATGTGCATGTTCAGTTTAAGCAAACTTGCATCGATTGACCTCACGAGTTTGCGTTTGAATGTGTTTTTCAGGTTTTTCACCTTTATATGCTCAAAAGTCACTTTACAATTTTATGAAATTAAAGGCTTCTTACTACTTATTATCGTTAGAATCACTTTAAAATTTATTTGACTTACCAGAAAAAAAAAATTGTTGAAATTCATCAGTGTCAAGTTTTTAATTTGGCTGAGTATATGTACCCTTTCTGTTGATTGTTATCGCCTTATGTATTTAATTTGTACCCATTCTTTGAATAATGCATAATGTAGACTAGCTTCTCTTTCGGTTGATATCATGTAAATATGTGCTCTTTCCTTGACAAATGCATTGCCTTGTTGAGCCTTTCCTTTGATTATTTCTTTGTTAATATTGTGCATGTATGACCAAGCATAATGACCAGTCAGTTTTAGATAGTATTTGAATTCTCATGGTTAATATAAATCAGGATAACTAAGCTAATTAGTTAAGTATTTAATCCATTATTGTTTATTTATGTTAATGTCTCTAGTGATAAGGGGACATCTCACTGTGCCCCCTGCTATTGTTCTCATGGAGTTATGGCCCTTGTTTCACTTTATTGATCCTTGTGAACGCTCTAATGCCAAAAGTTATTACCCGATCTTTGTGAAATTTATATGCACGATTTAAATTAGCGAAACGAAAAAGCCTAATCAATTTCATCAATTTACAATAATTACTTCTAGAGTTATTGTCCTTGTTTCACTTTGTTAAACCTTGTTAATGCTCGATTTATGAAAGTTATCATCCGATATGTATGAAATTTATATGCATCATTTAAATTTGTGAAACAGGCCTATTGAATTTCAGCAATTTAGTCAATAATTTCTAGAGTTATGGCGATTGTGAACGTTTAAATGCCAAAAGTGATCATGTGATCTGTATGAAATTTATATGCATTATTTAAATTAGTAAAATGAAAAAGCCTGTCAAATTTCAACAATTTCTGTAGATTACTTCCAGAGTTGAGACCCTTGTTTCAGTTTGTAGAACCTTGTAAATCCTCAGACGACAAAATTTATAATCTGATCTTGTAAAGGCCCCCAATTACCTACAAAGGAATAAATATGTGACAACCCTTGTCGACCGCTTGGACGATTTAGCTGCAGTGGGCGTATGTTTTGTTGCCTGGCAACCTATCTCATCAAATCTGAAAGATACCCGGTCGCTAGTGAATAATGCGACTGATCTTTACAGTGGTCGTCTGCTCAATGTCGATAGTCTGCCAGTTGACGTCATGAGTTCGAGCGAGGACACTTGGTGTATAGTTTTATCACATCAATACCTTGACTAAGTTCGATAATGAGCATTTTCTGCTCAGGGTAAAGGAGAGCGATAAGCAATTTGATTGGTCGAGACTTTGGAACACAATAACTCTCCTTCTAATTGAGGTAGAATGTTCGAACTTGGTGTAGGCATTCATTTGGTAAATGCCTTGATGGAATTCGATGATAAACATTGTCTGCTTACGGTAAGCAGAGATAAGCAATCTGATTGGTTGATGCTTTGGGGCACGATATTTTTGGTTTTAATTAAGTGAGAGTGATGAAACTTGGGGTATAGATTCATTATATCATAACCATGACTAAGTTCGATGATGAGAATTTTCTGCCTAGGCTAAGGAGCGATGAGCAATTTGATTGGTCAAGACTTTGGAATACAATAACCCTGCTTTTAATTGAGGTAGAATGTTTAAACTTGATGTAGATGTTCATTAGGTGAATGTCTTGACAGAGTTCAATTATTAACGTTTTGAGCTAAAGCTAAACAGAGCTAAGCAATTTCATTGGTTGATGCTTTGTGATAACATGATTTATCTCCCTTGTTACTTCCAGGTTTATTGTTTTTCGTATTTAGACATTGTTTAGTATATATGTGTATTATACCAGCGGCAAGGGACCGCGTGTTTTATGTTGAATGAAAGTATGAAGAACCGACATGTGCCATAGTTATATTTGCATAGGAACCGGCATGTGCCAACCCAGTTATTACTTTGGGACAAGATAACTTTGATTCTATGTGATAGAGAGTGGTGAAACGTAGTGTATAGTTGATAATCAGTTTGATTGCTTGATACTTTTGAGAAAAATAAATGCGCAATTAATTATTATGTGTGATCTATTTATTTCGGCGGGGGACATCAGCCTCACTGTTGGCTTGTTTTTACATGTACAATAACATATTTTTTCCATAATTTTTTGAGGGGGTCGATTTCCCACCCCTGGTCCACTTGACATGCAATGACCCCTATAAGAAAACCTTTGAATACAGGCCCAAATCTACTTAGACTAGAGTAAAGTACATGTACCAGTATTATAAACAAGCTTAGTTACCATAACAATGAAAGTTTGTAAAAATGGGTAAGGCTCTTGAAAGTGGCTTGTTTCTCTCAAGTTTGACAAACAATTTAATATGAATGTACATGTGTATAGTTATTTCTTAATATATTTTATATTTCAGTGTATCAGTCCCTATGATCTATATGAGGTATATTCTTTACCTACAACCAACAAGTTATCTATAGATAATCTAACTGATATATCGATTGGTGTATTATTATCTATACAACAAAAACGCTGTTTGTCTTACAGGTCTCATTTACATCTTTCACATCCTACCTCAACTGCAGGTATGTACATTGTTTTAGATTTCTTAATATTGAAATAAAAGTATTCTATATTTTAGTTCCAAATTCAGCTGGGAGTTGAACACGTTTCTCTTGCTGAGGTAGGCTAGCAAAGACAGAAAGACCATCTGTATTTTTTTACGCCCACATTTCAGTATATTTTGTTGTCGCCCTTTCCCTTGGTTATAGAGGCTGCAGTTTTTGACAGATTCTTTTCAAACTTGGTGTGAAGCATTGTGGTCATGAGGGGACAAACCCCATAGATATTGAGCGTTCCACAACCTTTCTTACCAGCTGAATTATGCCCCCTTTTCTGAAAATATTGTGAACGCGATAGTTTGTGGAATGTCCCAAGGTCACAATTTTTGTCTGATTCAGAAAAATTTTAACATATATATTAAGGATCGAAAGATCTTGGATGAGTTTGATTTTGGTGTTCATTGGACCTTTCGTTCTAGAGCAAGTGAAATATATATGATGTTTGTAGACCCGCCAGACCCTCTGATGAAACTTAACAAATATATTAAGATGAAAAGATCTTGAATGAGTTCGATTTTGCTGTGCATCAAATCTCAGCTTCTTGTTTAATACAGTCTAGGTTGTTAATTCATATTAAGTTATTTAGGAAATACACTTGTATTCACAGACTTATATTTGTGTTTATAAAAATTATAATTTCAAAATGGCCACCAATTGGCCTAAATAGTGTATTTTTTGGCTGAAAATGATAGTTTATGGCGTTGAACCATGTTTAAAGCCTGTTAGTTTTTTCTAAACATGATAAATACATGTTCCATTTAAATCAATACTGTCAACTCTTGAATTATTCCAAGAAAACTGAATTTTGGCAGATTGGCGGCAAGTCATTGTCATTAATCTGGCTGTGCAGAAAAAAATGTACTTGGTATTTCCAAGGGTCTCAACATATAGAAGAGGAAAATCCAATGTTTCTCTGTAAAATAGAGAGATGTACACAGTAACAGTACCAAGATTTTTTCCAAGGGTTCTCCAAATATAGAACAGGAAAATCCAAAGTTTATGCACTTAACCACTTGGCCTCATAGTAAGGCATCATGAATTATTATCTCATTTATATGTGGATGATACACAATTGTACATTTCGTTCAAATCTATTAAAAGTGACTTCGACATTTCTAAGCTGAATATTGAAACTTGTATTGCAGCCATTAAAATTTGGATGAACAACAATTTTTTATACGCCCAAGTTTTCTTGTGTACATATATTGTTGTTGCCCCAGACCGTCACAATTTTTATCCGATTTTGACGAAACTTGAAATATAGGTCTATCTCCCAAAGATTTCAGTTTCTTTCGATATTGGCAAGTATCGGACCATAATTGTACGATTGTACGAAAAATCACGTTTTTAGCTTGGGGTACACTCTACAGGTCACAATTTTGATCCGATTTTGATGAAACCTGAAAAGCATGTTTATAACCCAAAGATCTTGGTTCCTTTCGATATTCGCGCATATCGGATCGTAACTTCCTGAATTATGGCCCCTGATTGTACGAAAAATCGTGTTTTTAGCTTGTGGTCCCTCTAGAGGTCACAATTATTATCCGATTTAAAAAAACATTTTAGTATAATACTGTTACACCCAAATGATGGTTGAGTTCGAATTTCGTGAAAATCGGACCAAAACTGCCGGAAAAAATAGCGGTGGCTTGTACGCAAATTGTGTAAAAATATGGTATATCAAGGTTGTGGACCCTCTAGAGGTCACAATTTTCTTCTGATTTTGATGAAACTTGGAATGCATGTTAATAACCTAAAGATCTTGGTTCCTGTCAATATTCGCTCATATCGAATCATATTTTCCTGAATTATGGCTCTTGATTGTACGAAAAATCGCATTTTCAGTGGTCCCTATAGAGGTCACAATTTTTATCTGATTTAAAATAAACCGTGTGAATACATCAAAGTTATACACTAATGATGGTTGAGTTCGAATTTAGTGAAAATTGGACTAAAACTGTGCGCAAATAGTGTAAAAATATGGTATATCAAAGATGTTGACCCTTTAGAGGCCACAGTTTTTATCCGATTTGGATGAAACTTTAAATATATCTTTTTATCATAAAGATCTTGGTTCATTTTGATAATCACACATATCCGAACGTAACTTCATGGATAATGACCCCTGATTGGTCGAAAAATCGCATTTTTAGCTTGCAAATTCTGTAGAGGTTGCAAATTTTTTTCCAATTTTAAAAACCGTTTGGATATATCACCATTCCACCATAATGAAGATTGAATTCAAATTTCGGGAAAATTGAATGAAACTGCATGACAAAATGGCCGCTCTTTGTACGCAAATTGTGTATAAGTGTGTAATACTTGAATTTACCTGGAAGCGATTGGCATTGGCTTGGGCTGTGTGGCCTGCGTCTAGTCTTCCAAGCACCTGGTTCCTCTGAGCTGTCATGAGTAGTGTGAATGATTAATCCAGGTATGGGGGTGCATTTTATAGGGCTGGTCCCGGTGAACATCACGTGCAGCATGAGGTACAGGAAAATCATGGAAAACACATTACCATCTCAGAAATCAGGTTGTGTTTTTGAGAACATTTCCTGGGTTCAATTCTGTGTTTGGGAAGGAGTCTTATTGCTCAAGTAAAGTTGAAGCTGTGATCACAAATATACAATAAAAACATTTGGCAAGTTTTATGCAATACGTCTATTCAGAGTAACATACCAACCTGATATTTCTTTTGCTGCTTAGTATATATTTATACATATTTGCATAGTAACACTGTGGTTTTAATTGGCTATAGCTAGCTACATAGTATATAGGTAATTAACAGAAAACATGTATATTGGTACAATTTAGGAACAATGAATGGACGATAATAAAGGGATAGATTAGAAAAATTAATTAATGAAATTAATGGCCAATTCCTACTTATTTACTATTAAGTCGAGGAACATATTTTTTAATAAAATGGTTTACCATATTGCCGTCGCCCCTCTCCGTCCGTTATTGTCCGATTGTTTTAAAATTGATATATGTGGTTTACATTAGTGACATGATGAAGCCTATTTAATTTCAATAATTTCTGTTCATTACGTCTAGAGTTATGGTCCTTGTTTCACTTTGTTGAACCTTGTGAACACTCTAATGCCAAAAGTTATCATCTAATCTTTCTGACATTTATATGCACTATTTAAATTAGTGACACGAAGAAGCCCATTGAATTTCAGCAATTTCTGTTTATTACATCTACAGTTATGGCCCTTGTTTCACTTTATTGAACCTTGTGAACACGCTAGCACCAAAAGTTATCACCCGATCTTTGTGATATTTATATACATGATTTAAAATAGTGAAACTAAGAAGCCTATTGAATTTCTGTCGATCATGAAATTTATATGCGTCATTTAAATTAGTAAAGAGAAGAATCCTTTTAAATTTCAGCAATATCCGTTTATTACTTATAGAGTTATGGCCCTTGTTTCACTTTGTTTCATTTTGTGAACGCTCTAACCTCTAAAGTTATCAGCTGATCTGTATCAAATTTATATGCACCATTTAAGTTAGTAAAAAAAAAGAATACTATTGAATTTCAGCAATTTACATTTATTACATCCAGAATTATGGCTCTTTTTACTTTATTTATATGCATTATTTAAATTAGTGAAACCACAAAGCCTATTGAATTTCAGCAATTTACAATAATTACTTCTAAAGTTATGGCTTTTGTTTCACATTGTTCAACCTTGTTAATGCTTGATTGATGAATGTTATCATCCGATATGTATGAAATTCATCTGTATCATTTAAATTTGTGAAACGGGTCTATTAAATTTCAGCAATTTCTGTCAGTAATTGCTAGAGTTATGACCCTTGTTTTACTTTTGAACGTTTGAATGACAAAAGTGATCATCCGATCTGTATGAAATTTATATGTATTATTTAAATTAGTAAAACGAAAAAGCCAGTTGGATTTCAACAATTTCTGTAGATTACTTCCTGAGTTGGGGCCCTTGTTTTAGTTTTTAGAACCTTGTGAACCCTCAATTGCCCCTAATTACTTACAAAAGAATAAATATGTGACAACCCTTGTTGACAGCTCGGACGATTTAGCTGCTGTGGGCGTAGGTTTTGTTGCCTGGCAACCTATCTTTTTATGTATTAGAAAAATAAATAAAGACGTTTGAAGTATTTGTAGGTAAAAATTATTTCCTATTTAGTGTACGCTCGTCCAGTAAATTGTGACATACATTTTGTCATTCGTCTGAGATAATTTCTGTTATTCACTTTGTCATTCTGTGTCACTCATTGGATGGACCTCTGTCATTCTGTGTCATTCGTCTGGTGAACCTGTGTTATTTTCTGTATCACACACTTTGTCATTCATCCAGCGCTCACGGACGCTGTCGATCGACATTGCCGCCAATTGCGATAAAAATATAATTTTGGCGATTAAATATTCAATCTGGCGAAATTTTTGGCGATAACTTTTTCCTGTATGGCGATTCTTTTTTAACCGTGATGATCAATTTTTCTTGCCACAAAGCTTTGATTTCCACGCCGTGCATATATACACGTTACAGTCTATTGCGCTTGGCTGAGTCAGTTATCAATCAATTAAGTGCCAATAATAGAGATATCTTTTGTCTCTTGATCAATCTCAGATTAGTGTTGATTAGTATTTACAGTAAGAGTAGTAATAAACAAATTAAGAGACAAAAGATTTAATTATTTAGAAGTTTGTAGAAGCTTGTGAACCCTGAATTGACAAAAATTATAATCTGATCTGTATGGAACTGTCTTGTAAAGGCCCCCCCATTACCCACAAAGGAATAAATATGTGACAACCCTTGTCGACCGCTCGAACGATTTAGCTGCTGTGGGAGTATGTTTCGTTGCCTGGCAACCTACCTCATGAAAAGGGAAACTCTGAAATTTGACTCGTAGGTGTTTTGCACATCTAAAGATATGTCTATATACAAAAAAGGGCCCATTTTTATACGCCCACA